GTCTCGGTGTGTGTGTGTGTGTGTGTGTGTGTGTGTGTGTGTGTGTGTGAGTGTGTCAGTTTGAGACAAAGAGAGTGCTGGCAGCTCTGATTCACAAGGCCTCTGAGACTTCCTTGTGTCACCTCTTTCTGGGGCCATCACCCCCTCTGGCTGTCAGCCTCGGTAAAGAGACCTGACAGCTGAGCAGGTGTGTGCCACGTGTGTGCGTGTCGGGCCTTGTGCCGATCAGCTCTCACATGCCTCTTTCCTCTGCAGGTATCAGTCTGCTGGTGCCTCATGGGGGGATCGCAGAAGACACTACCTGGGAAATGTACATGAGCATCAACCAGGAGGACAGCAGGTGAGGGACTCTTACCGAGGCGGTACCACTCTGCTTTCTAGGCTGCTCTCTTTTAATCTCTCAGCCCCTCGTGACGCATCTCTCATCCATCTTCCCGTGATGCCGTCTGCTCCTCTCACTGCCAAAGTGCCACAAACATACAATAATAAACACACACCTCCTCTTATGCAGCCTACAAAGTGACATGTAATGTACATATCCGTGCTTACAGATGCACATGTTCCCACCCAGCAGGAGGTCTTTTATCATCGTGCAGACACCACAGGGGAGGGCATGGTGTGTCACAAACACACCGGCAGCTGCAGACAGATTGCATTACTGCCGTAAGCAACCACCTCAGTGGAGGAAGATACACTTCAGCACTATAGTCTGTTTTGTGTTTGCAGACATGACTGTGACAGTATCGCTTTCCATCTCGACTGGTTAGAGGAGTGAATATTGTGAAACGTGTGAAGTTATAATGAAAGGTAATATCTGCGTTTTGGTCAGATGGAGTCTGTCTCTGTAACTTTCTTCTCACAAAGCTCCTGCTTAAGGAGAAAATGTCATGACAGATAAGGCCTGTTTGAAAAAAGGAATCCAATACCTGTGACTTCCTTTAGCGGAGCCTCCAAAGGTATCTGACAAACACACGTCAGGGTTTTTCTTTCTTTTTTAGGACGTGTTCTTGATTTAAAGCAGACAAAATCCTAATGTCAGGATGTTTGTGTTCAATTTGCAAGATACCCAGTGGCGCCTGCAGAAATCTTTTCAGGGGGAGGGGGTGCATGGGGGGGCACTGAAAAACCAGGGGTGGCACACCAAAACTAATATCTATAACATAATTTTTATGGTGGGTTTGTAAAAAGGACAATTTGAAAAATATGGTGTGGTGACACGATTTACCAAGAATGCAGAAACACGTTGGAATAATCCCAGAAAAGTCTGCGTGTGTGATAATCAAATATGATTTAATTATGAGTGACAAACAAACAGAACTGAATCAGGAAATTCTGCATGCTTGTGACTGACTGTCAGCAGAATACAGCCAGTAATATAACGTTATGTTAACACCATGTGACAGTTTACAACCAATCACAGATTGTCAAATATACTGTGCAGCCTAAGACTGGGCTCCCAGCCCAAAGAGTCTGTTATCAACCAAGAGAGTTCAGTCCGTTGCGGAGTCCTGACGTCCGGAAACAAACAGACTACGAGCCGAAATGAGCTATCAGAAAGATACGAGTGATGGACAGTGTCAAGGTGAAACAGATATAAATAATTAGTCCATGACAATGGCAATATAAAGCTATGTATATTTGCCAAACAAATGTTCAATTTGTAATTCCACAGATAATGGCACTAATTTTATGGCATTCAGAGACAAAAAAAAGAATAAGTATTTGTAATGTTGGGGGGACCCAAAATTTTTAAATTAGTAAATGCCATTTCCTGCATTCTGGTGTATTTTAACAGGCTGTTAAACAGATTTTTACCTACATAAGAAAACACTTAATGTGAGTATTCCATAGGTAAAATTCAAATTCAATTCAAAAATACTTTATTGATCCCAGAGGGAAATGAGGTGTTGTTGTAACTCATTTAACTAAAAACTTATTATAGATGCTGATGGCTGTGGGCAGGAAAGATCTTCTGTAGCGTCTGTATTACAGCGAAGTTGAAGAAGCCTCCGACTGAAGACACTTTGTCTTTCTATGACAGTCTGATGAAGAGGATGGTCAGGGTTGTCCACAATGTTCTTGATATCCTTCTTTGCACCATCATCTCCAGAGATTCCACAGTCGTCCCCAGAACAGAACCAGCCTTCTTTGTCAGGTTGTTTAGCCT